AAAAACAATGACAACTAGAACCAAAAAAAAAAAAGATACAAAATGATAGTGGTCGGCGCCTGTGGTCCAGCTACTTGGGGAGGCGGAGGCAGGAGACTCGCTTGAGCCCAGGAGTTGGAGGTTGCTGTGAGTTGTGATGCCATGGCACTCTACCTAGGCGGACAGCTTGAGGCTCTGTCTCAAAAAAAGAAAAATAAATAAAGTGTACAGTTTTTAAACAGAGTTGTGCAGCTATTACTATAATTTTAGAACAGGTTTACCACTCCCCAAATGGTCTTGGGCCTGTTAGCAGTCTCTCTCTTTTCTTCCCAGCTCCCCCATCTAAGTGACCACTAATCTGCTTCCTATCTCTGTGATTTCTCTGTGGATTTGCCTGCTCTGGACATGGTTTGCTTATTTTATTTATTTATTTATTCTTGCAGGTTTTTTTTTTTTTTTGGCCGGGGCTGGGTTTGAACCCGCCACCTCTGGCATGAAGGGCCAGCGGCGCCTTACTCCTTTAAGCCACAGGCACCACCTGGTTTGCTTATTTTTTAACTGTGCTCCTGGTCTGTCTGGTGCTGTCTAGACCCACTGGTCTAGAGGCTTGCTAAAGTCCCCAGTTTGCCCTGTTTGGGTCTCAGGGCCAGCTGGAGCACAGACGGGGGACGCTATGCCTTCTCCCTGTGGAACGTGGGCTCCAGTGACTGAGCATGCAGTGGATCAGCTGCTCCATGTGGCAACCTGTCCCTTCCATGGTGGCCGGCTGACCCTGCAGTGTGTTATTTCTTGGAGCAGGTCCAGCCATGTCTGGGCTTAGGAAGTAGGGTGAAAAGTGGTCAGGGAATGGGGTACAAAGTGTGGAGCCAGGGGAGGGGCCAAGAGGCAGCACAAGAGAGAGGATGGTGCCCCACCAGGCCCAACCCCAGCCTGGAGGGGCAGTGAGGCCTGCAGCAGCCCCGGCCAGTTGCTCAGTCAGGGTAATGAGGCAGCTCAGTCAGGGCCAGGACTGACGGGAGTACATCCCAGCAGGTGCCGGAGACCTTGGAGGATGTGTCCATGTACCTGTCCAGAGAAGAGCAGAGATGCCTGGACCCAGCTCATCAGGACCATAGTTGGGATGTGCTGCGGGAGAATGAGGGTAATGTGCAGGGAGACCGTGTCTTCCTGGGTATGTTGAATCTCAGTGTGTAAAGCCAGAGCTGCCAGTGTCCAGTGTCCAGCTATGGGGCAATGTGACCATACATACCCATAATCCCAGATAGATGCCCAGAGTTCCCTTGGGATCCTGTCATTTCACCCTCACCTCCCAAGCATTGGTCCTATTTCCATCTGCCCCTGCCTGCACAAAGCAGCTCCAAGGCCTGCCTGTCTGGCCTTTTGGGCTTAGAGGCATCTCCTTGCGACTCACTGGGCACCAGCTCTGTTCCTGCACCTGCCCTCCTGCTCTTTCTCTGCCCATTTGTTTCTTTTTGCCACTCCTGACACTGCTGAGACCTTTTCTAAAAGCATTGAGATGTTGCTTTGTATCTGTGAGAGGTCTGCAGAGAACTACAGGAGAGAGACCCACACATGCACACACACAAAGACACACATAGAAATTTATTTTAAGGGATTGGTTTACTTGACTGCAGAAGCTGACAAGTCTAGAATCTGTAGAGCAGGTTAGATCCCTAGACAGGATTTCTGTTAGTCTTGAGGCAGAATTCCTCCTCTAGGAAATCAAACCTCTGTTTTTGCTCTTAAGGCCTTTGACTGGATGAGGCTCACCCACATGGTGGACAGTGACATGCTTTACTCACAGTCAGCTAAGTTTAGGTGTCAGATACATCCATACATCTGTGGCATCTAGTTTATGTTTGGCCAAACAACTGGCACCATGGCTTAGCCAAGCTCACTCATAACATTAACCATCACACACGTCCCTTTACACCTTGGCATTTTTTTCAGTGTTCTATTGAATGAATGAAAATGAACATGTTTCTGCCAACATGCGAAGGTAAATGCCAGTTTGCTATTGCACAACCTTGCTCTGTGCCATTGGTCTGTGTCTGTCACCCTGAGTGTGGTAACTCATGGCTACTTCATCTCTGTTGTAATGGGGAAACTTCAGCCTTCCTCATGGCTCCTTTCCCAGGTGCAGTGGGAACCCAGTGCCCTGTTTTCTCACTTCTTACCCTTGGAGGAAACTGAGTCTGCACAGAAGCACAGAATACCTTCCACTTATCTCTTCCTGAGCGCCCACTTTGCTCTAATGAGGAAAGGCATGCTGAGTTCCACACCTGCCTCCTCTCTCTTCTCACTCCCTGAGCAGGACTTCTCACTCCTAGGCCCTGTCTGGTGGCCCACCCAGGTGAGGGTGAGGCCTGCAGGGCTTATGCTGCCTCCAGGCTGAGAGAAGTCCTGGCAGGGCCAGCTCTGCAAGATCAGTGAGAAGGAAGCAGAAGGCCCAGATTAGGTTCTCTCTTTAGAAAGTTTAGTTAGACATTGGTGACTGTGTTTGTGAAGCTCAAGTTCAAGGGCCTAGAGCAAGGGTTGGCAGACATTTTCTGTAAAGGACCAGATAATAAGTATTTCGGATTTTACTTGCTATATGTTTTGTATCCCAGCTTTGTAGCCCTGCTGTTGTCGTGCAGAACTAGCCACAGACAATAGGAACATGAACGAGCATGGCTGTGTTCCATTAAAACTCCATTTACAAGGGCCAGGCACAGTTGGTCATGTCTGTCATCCTAGCACTCTGGGAGGCGGAAGCAGGTGGATTGCTTGAGCTCAGGAATTTGAGACCAGCCTGAGCAAGAGCCACTCTCTTAAAAAAAAAAAAAAAAACTAGCTGGGGAAGCTGAGGCAAGAGGATCGCTTGAGCCCAAAAGTTTGAGGTTGCTGTGAGCTATGATGCCACAGCACTCTCTACCAAGGGTAACAAAGTGAGACTCTGTCTCAAAAAAAAAAAAAAAAGTCCTTTACAAAACAGTTGTTAGGCAGCAGGTTATAATTTGTTGGCTCCTGGCCTAAAGGAAAAACAAATGGGAGGTAGGTGAGCTTAAGAAAGGTTTGGGGCCCCAGAGGAAATCTATTGACAGAAGAAGAGTCCTACAAAGTCTTGCTGGAGCCAGGCATGGGGGTGTGGCGCCTGTAGTCTCAGCTTTTCAGGAGGCTGAGGCAGGAGGATCTCTTGAGCCCAGGAGTTGAAGTCAGCCTAGGCAACATAGTGAGACCCCATCTCTTAAAAAATAATGATGATCCTAGTGAGATAAGTGAAGCTGGATGAAAGGGAGGGCAGGAGACCTGGACTGAACAGAATAGCTTCCAGGAACAGCACTGACACTTAAATGGGCCCACCAGTCAGCAGCACTGAGTATGTACCTCCTGTGTGCAGAGAATCGTGGAAGCTTCTCCAGGGCCAACAGAAAGGAGTCAGTCAGAACACCATATGCAGTGTCACTTTGCACTAGCAAAGCAAGGCAGAAAGTTTGGTGCTCTGCCCTCTCCTGAAAGATCTCTTTCTCTCTCTCTTTTTTTTTAGACAGGGTCTTGCTATGTCGCCCTGGGTAGAGTGCCATGGTGTCACAGCTCACAGCAACCTTAAACTCTTGGGCCTTAAGGGATTTTTGTGCCTCAGCCTCCCAAGTAGCTGGGATTACAGGTGCCTGCCACAGCGCCTGGCTATTTTTTATTGCAGCTATCATTGTTGGTTAGCTGGGCCAGGCCAGGTTCAAACCCACCAACTTTGATGTATGTGGCTGGTGCTATAACCACTGTGCTACGGGTACTGAACTGAAAGATCTCATTCTTAACAAGACCCTCTGCCCCAGAATACTGTGGGATACAGGGAATATTGAGTTCAATTTGGTGAGCAAAGCTGGTTTTGGTTTGTATTAAAGTGTTTTTTTAGTTATTAAATTTTTATTATGATAAAATATACATAACATAAAATTTATCATTTTACTGTTTTTAAGCATTCAGTTCAGTATAATAAGTACTGATAAAGTACAGCAACATAAATTACATAATCACTACCACTACCATAATCACTACCACTACTACACAATCATATCACTGTCCATCTCCAAAATGCTTTTTGTTTTATTCTTATTTTTGGAGATAGAAGTCTCACTCTGTTGCCCTGGATAAGGTACTGTCTTATCGTCATAGCTCATAGCAACCTGAAACTCTTGGTCTCAAGCAATCCTCTTGCCTTAGCCTCCCTAGTAGCTGGGACTACAGGTGCCCGCCTCAACACCACCCTAGGTTTTCTATTTTAAGTAGAGATGGGGTCTTGCTGTTGTTCAAGCTGGTCTCCCACTCCTGAGCTCAAGTAATCCACCTGTCTCAGCCTCTCAGAAAGCTAGAATTACAGGCATGAGCCACAGCACCCAACTGCATCTCCAGAATTTTTTTATTTTCCCAACTGAAACTCTGTACCCATTGAGCACCAAGTCCCCATCCCCCCTGCCCCAGCCGCTGGCAGCCACCATTTTTCTTTCTTGCTCTGTAAATCTGATGACTCTAGGTTCCCCATGTTAGTGGAATACAGTATTTGTTTTTCGTAACTGAATTGTTTCACATAATATAACGTCTTCCACACTCATCCATGTTGTATATGTGTCAGAATTTCCTTCCTTTTTTTTTTCTAGATGCAGGGTTTCAGGCTGGAGTACTTGTAGTGATATACTTGTAGCTCACTGCAGCATCAAATTCCTGGGCTCAGGCAGCACCTGTGGCTCAAAAGGGTAGGGTGCCAGCCCCATATGCCAGAGGTGGTGGGTTCAAACCCAGCCCTGGCAAAAAAATAAAAAAGAGAGAGAAAATTCCTGGGCTCAAGCAAAGCAATCCTCCTGCCTCAGCCTCTCTAGTAGCTGGTACTGCAGATGGGTGTAGCCATAGCTGGCTATTTAAGTCCTTTGCCTGTTTTCGAATTGGGTTTTTTGGTTGTTATTAAGTTCTAGGTTTTTTGGTTGTTATGGATTCTGAGGATATTAACTCCTCAACAGACGTATGATTTGCAAATATTTTCTCCCATCTGTGGGTTGTCTTTTCACTCTGTTGGTAGTGTCTTTTGATGCACAAATTTTAACTTGAATGCAGTCAATTTATTTTTTATTTTGAAGAGTTAATTTTAGGTAAAGTTGTATGACATGTGGGTCATGCACATCATACAGCCATGATGACATGCAGCTGGAGTGGTGGGTTTCCACAGGAACAGTTGAGTGGAGACATTTTTGGTTGTCAGGACAAGGAATTTGTTACCGACATCCAGTGAGGGGAGGATGGGATGCAGCTAAACGTCCTACAGTACACAGCCCCAGACCCAGCCCAGTCTAGGTCCTCTAGGTGGGTGTCATCTATACCATGATTGGGAAACCCTGACCTGGAGGTTTCTGAGAAGGTTTTACATGTGGACTGATTGATTCCTGGCACTAAAGGGTCTGTGGGAGGCAGAAAGGGAAAAGGCAAAAAATTCGCCAGTTTTTCTGGCCTCATGTGTCCACATGGAATCTTCAGGAAGACAGAGGGAAGGATGTGGTTCTACCCACCTGGGCCACCAGCTAAGCTCCCAGAGCCTAGACCTTACTGCCTTCCAAGGGTCACAGTGGAGTTGTTGAGTTTTACTTTCATGTGCCAGACACAGTAGTTTATATGCAGTCCTCTTTTGGGTGGGCTGGGCAGAGGGGACAAACAAAAGTTTGATTTATTTGATCTTGCTTTTATTTATTTATTTATTTGTGAGACAGAGTCTCACTTTGTCACCCTCTGTAGAGGGCTATAGAATCATAGCTCACAGCAACCTTAAAGTCGTGGACTCAAGTGATCGCCTTGCCTCAGCCTCCCAAGTAACTGGGACTATAGGTGCCCACCACAATGCCAGGTTAGTTTTTCCATTTTTAGTAGAGGATAGGGTCTTGCTCTTGCTCAGGCTGGTCTTGAACCTCTGAACTCAGGCAATCCACCCACCTCGGCCTCCCAGAGTTCCAGGATTACAGATGTAAGCCACCAAGCCAAGACTTAATCTTGCTTTTAAACAAAAACAAATTAGGTTGGCACTTTGGTCCCAAAGTTTTTACTTTCTAATTTTTTAATGAAATGAAATTCATATAACATATAATTTGCTATTTTTTAGTGAATAGTTCACTGGCATTTAGTACATTCACAGTGTTGTCTTCGTTCCTATCTAGCTCAAAAACATTTCTCATCACATTAAAAGGAAACCCTGTGCCCATCAGCAGTCCCTCCCACCCCACCTCCCTTTCCCCAACCAGCAGTCTGTTCTCTGTGCCCATGTATCACCTGTTCTGGACATGCACATAAATGGACTCATGCAGTACCCATCCTTTGGAGACTGGCTTCTCTCAGTTTACCCATATCGTGTCTGTGTCAATGTTTCATCTCTTTTTTATGTCCAGATAGTGCTACATTGTGTGAATAGACAGTAGTTGTATATTCATCCTCTGTTGATGGACATGTATGTTTCTGCTTTTTGGCTGTTGTGAATAGTGCAGCTGTGGACATTTGTGTGTAAGTTCTTGTCTAAGTACATGTTTTCTGTTGTCTTGGGTGTATACCTAAGAGTGGAATTGCTGGGTCATATGATGACTCTATGTCTTAACTTTTTGAAGAATTGCTAGCCTCAGCTCCTTTTGAAAAAATTCATACAGTGGGCCACTGACATAGTTCTATCCCTATCCTCATTTTACAGAAGTGGCTCACACCTGTAGTACTAGCACTTTGAGAGGCCAAGGTAGGAGCATCATTTGAGGCCAGGAGTTTAAGACCAGTCTGGGCAACAGTGAGACCCTGTCTCTACTAAAAATAGAAAAAACTTAGCTAGGCTTCCTGGTACACCTATAGTCTAGCTCCTTGGGAGGCTGAGGCAAGAGGATTGCTTGAGCCCAGGAATTTGAGGCTGCAGTGAGCTATGATGACAACATTGCACTGTAACCACAGAGTGAGATGTCTCAAAAAAAAAAAAAAAACCCCAAAACTTTGCAAATGTGAAAGTTGAGGTTTAATCAGCACCAAGCCCACACTTGGCTCTCTAGAAGTGGGGGCTTTAGAGACGGAAGAGGGGTGGGTAAGAAGGGCTTGCATGGGAGGTCTAGGGATGGACTTTGCCTAAAGGGACTTTGGCAAGGAATGATGGAATGTTCTGCCCTTTGCTGTGGGAACAAAACTACTCTTAGTACTGCTTGGAGGATATCTGTTCCCCTCGCCCTGGACGCCCCAATGTGCTTTGTGCTATGAGGTCCCCAGTTGGGATTAGCCTTGGGCTACAGATGAAGAGCAGAGAAGTTAAATCGTTTGCTTATAGTCACACAGCCTGGGAAGAGTAAGCTGGGTCAGTCCAGGGTCCTTTCACTCTGCTCCTGTCATGATTGTGTTGGGTCCTGAGCCTAGATCTTTGAAAGTGTCTCTGCTTATCCAGGGTGTGCAGTGAGTAAGGTCATGTAGCTGGGACCTGTGGCTCCTGGTCCTGCTCTAACCAGGACATCATGGAGGAGGGTTCTCCACCTTGGCACCACTGACTTCTGAGCCTGGGCCCTTCTCTGCTGTGGGAGGCTATCTGTGCACTGTAGGATGTTTCCCTCTACTCTCTAATGCAGGCGTTCTCAAACTACAACCCACGGGCCACATGCAGCCTGCCTAGGACATTTATTTGGCCCGCCAGGTGTTTTTGCTGCTGCTGCCTGTCCTGCTTAGCAGCCGATTTGTCCCGGGGCCCACAGTCCAGCCCTCCAATGGTCTGAGGGACAATGAACTGGCCCCCTGTTTAAAAAGTTTGAGGACCCCTGTTCTAATAGGTAGAGGCCAGTTACAGCCGCCTCCCCAGTCATGGCAAAAATGCCTCTAGTCATAGCCTTCAGTGAGAACCACACACTTAGAGGTTAGAGCCCAGACAGTCCAGGCTCTATAACTCAGTGATCTGGGCAAACACCTCAATCTCTTTGTGCTTCAGTTTCCTTATCTGCAAGATGGGGACAGTCACAGCTCTGACCTGTTGAGAGGGTTATGTGAATTAGTATAGGTTTAGAACACCATGTGGCTTTGCTTTTAGTACCTTGTGTCAGGGCTCTAACACTTCCCTGCTAAATGTGTTGAAGGGGGATTTGAAAAGCCCTGCGTGGCTTTTACTTTCTTTTTTTAAAAGATAAGATCTTACTCTGTTACCTGGGCTGAAGTACAGTGGCAAAAATAGGACACTGCAGCCTTGAACTCTGGGTTCAAGTGATCTCCTGCCTTAGCATCTGGAGTAGCTAAAACTGCAGGTGTGTACCCCACTATGCTAGTTTTTCTATTTTTTGTAGAGACAGAGTCTTGCTATGTTGCTCAGGCTGGTCTTAAATTCCTGAGCTCAAGAGATCCTCCTGCCTTGGCCTTCCAAAGTGCTAGATTGCAGGTGTGAGCCACCATGGTTGGGCTTACCTTCTTTTTTGTTAGAAGCAAGTCCCTTTCTCTTAAGGACTGCTTCCTCTGTCTCAGGGCTCAGGATCCAATTGGAGGATGGTGCCAACACCAGGATGGACACACCGATGAGAATGGAGTGGTACCGAGTGCTGTCAACACGGTGCCAGGGTCCTGGCCACCCACTCCCAGCTCAGGGACTGGCCCCAGTCAGGAGCTTGGTTAGCTCCAAGCAGCTGAGAGGCTGCCTCCCACCAGAAAGAGGGGAGCCCCGTGGGACTGACAAGCCATACACATGCCCTGAATGTGGCAAAGCCTTCAGCAAAACATCCCACTTGACTAAGCACCAGCGCACTCACACTGGGGAGCGTCCCTACAAATGTCCGGTCTGTGGGAAGGGCTTCAGCGACCGCTCCAACTTCAGCACACACCAGAGGGTCCACACAGGCGAGAAGCCCTACCCATGCCCTGAGTGTGGGAAGCGCTTCAGCCAGAGCTCCAGTCTGGTCATCCACCGCAGGACACACACAGGCGAGCGGCCCTATGCATGCACCCAGTGTGGGAAGCGCTTTAACAACAGTTCCCACTTTAGCGCGCACCGCAGGACGCACACAGGTGAGAAGCCCTACACGTGCCCGGCCTGTGGCAGGGGTTTCCGCCGTGGCACCGACCTCCACAAGCACCAGCGGACCCATACTGGAGAGCGTGCTCCGCCACAGCCCCAAGGAGTCCAGGGCCCAGAGCCTGGCCACCATGCACACAGTGCTGCTCCCAGGACGCTTGTCAGAAGTTCACAGTCGCAGAATTTGTGAGGCCGCTAGACCCACTTCTGTCCCAGCACCAGATGCCCTGATCTGAAGGCATTTTCTGTCGGTCTGGCAGTAGGACAGCTTGGGTACCCCAGCCAATGCCAGAAGCCAGGCACAGACAGGGTGTCCGTCTATCCTAGGGCAGCTGGAACAAGCAGCACAAGCCATACTCCTCTGCCCCTGGGACTCTGGTGCCTGTGTCCTTATACTGTAAGGACACCAGTCATTGGATTAGGGCCCCCCAGTCTACCCTGACCTCATCGTAAGTAATTACATGGTCAAAAACCCTATTCCCAAACAAGATCACATTCTGAGGTTCTGGGCATATGTGAATTGGGCAGGGGGTACTCTCCAGCCCGATGCCCCATGTCACAAATCCCAGCCTGCCTTTCATCTTTGCCTTCCAAAAGCAGGCTGTGGGGCTTTTCCAGTATTGCATGGTGCCACAGGGGAGGGGGGTGAGTTTAGGGTCACCTTGGCACACTCCCAGCTACTCAGAGGAGGGCAATGCCAGAGTGGGAATGCCTCCTTGGAGACCCCTCTTCCTGGCCTCATGTCACAGGGAGGAAACCCAGAGATTCCACTGGGCCTGACAGCTCTCCCCAGGACGGGGGCCCAGGGCTGCCCTTGTTCTGACCCTCGGTGGTGGTTTTCCAATGTGGCCCTTCTTGGTTGCCCCCTTCATCTATAAGAATTCTCCCCCTTCCGGCTTTTGTCTAGCCTGAGACCATAAGCCTCTCTGATCTGCACACCCAGTCTTGGTGAGTGGCTGGCAGGGGGCAGTATGATGAAGCCCATGGTGGGTTTAGTCATCATGGAAGTAATAGGACAGCTGCTGAAACCACTGGGTTCTGGAACATTCCATCCAGGCAGTGTGGCTCCATCCGTGGCTGGGTGGCCTTGGCCCTCATCCCAGCCTGTGATGCCCCATCCTGTTTTGTCGCCTATTTGCTGTATAAATTTTCACCTTTTGACACAACCCAGGTTCCATGGTACAGGACCTGCTCTTTCTTCGTTCCCTTAATAAATAACATCAGTCCTCCCCTGTCCCCTGTGTGCTCTGTCATGTGTTGGCAGAATGAGGCCGCCTGGTGTAGGGATAGCTTTTTCCAGAGCACATGGTACCAGCCAGCCACCTCCCATGCAACCACAAGCTCCCCAGCCTCATTTCTCTACTGGAGGTGGCTGCCCTCTCCCTGGCCAGGGAATGTTCCCACCCTCAGCTGTACCATACCTTGCAGGCTTCCCTCACCCCACCAGGGTTACTGTCTCCCCTGGCTCAGTGCGCCCTGCTAGCTGCCCCTCAGCCTGCCTTAGCCATTGTCATCCTCAGGGATCCTGTGGGTCAGGAGGTCCAGGTCTGTGTGTGTGAGGTAGTACAGGTGGCACTTTCACAGTTTTCCTCTTATGGGCAGGGAAGTAAGATGATATGAGCATTAAAACCCTTCCTGGTCGCACAGCCAGTTTTGGACCCAGGTCAGAACTCCCACTGTCCCCTTTGATCCCCCACTTGCCTTGAAAGACATAGTAATTCACATACAGAATTGGACTTCTGTCTTTTTTTTCTTGAGATAGGGTCTTGCTCTGTTGCCCAAGCTGGAGTACAGTGGCTTAATCATAGCTCCCTGCAGCCTCAAACTCCTGGGCTCAAGTGATCCTCCTGCTTCAGGCTCCTCCTCCTGGGACTATGGGTGCAAGTTACCTTGTGTGGCTAATTGTTTTCAATTTTTGATGAGCCAGTCTCACTATGTTGCCCAGGCAGCCTATGGCAGGTCTCAAACTCTGGCCTCAAGTACCGTGTTTCCCCCAAAATAAGACACTGTCTTATATTTATTTTTTCTCAAGAAGACACACTAGGGCTTATTTTCAGGGGATGTCTTACTGTCCATGCCGAAATGCATGGCGTGGCATGCAGATACGCTGCATAGCCATGCCCATCACTAGGTCTTATTATCAGGGTAGGGCTTATATTTAACAAATGCATAGAAATCTTGCTAGGGCTTATTATTTTGGGGGTAGGTCTTATTTTTGGGGAAACATGGTAGTCCTCCTGTCTCAGCCTCCCATAGGGCTGGGATTACAGGTGTGAGGCACCATGTCTGGCCATTTCTAAGGTTAAGAAATAGCACCTTTTGTCTGGCCTGTGAGCTGAGCCTCTCTGATCACACATCCACAGAGTTGTTGGGAGTGGGGGCTGGTGGAGGTGTCATCTGTGGCCCTGATCTTGGGTGCATGTGGCTCAGGCCAGGCAAAGCCTTTCATCCTGGGCCTATCAGTGTAGGGCCTATACAAAGAGACCCTTGCCCACCCCCAGCAGCATGGCAGCTGGCAATGACCTGTCAGCTGAATGCTGGAATACTTGCCCAAATGCCAAGTGCCCTGCTCTGCCTCCAGGGTCCATGACATGGCGGGACCCAAACTGTGGATGGTTTCTCTGCTTGTCACTTGGACCAGGCATGGGAAAGCATTTGGAAACAGGTTGGGAGAGAACAAAGATGCCCCCAAACAGGGCTTCATCCTATTGGGAGACTTAGGGCTGATAACAGCAGTTTAAAAAGGACTCTAAAAACAGGGTCTAGAGGGTCATTGCTTACAGAGTAACAGGATGGAAGGAGACCAGGTGTGTCCCATGGGGGCTGGGCTTTGTTGGGCAGTGAGCCCCCAGCTCCTGCTGGTTATCGACAAGCGTGGCCACTGCTCCATTGCACCCAAGACAGTTTCCAGGTTTCAAGAAATCCAGTATTTAGTCTAATTTGTAAAGGTCTACTTGTGTGTACCTGCCTATCTTGGGTAATTTAAAAAAAGAGAAAGCATTCCAATCACTCCCCTTTTCAAAAAGCCTATTAGGTCTGCAGGTGCACGCGTGTGTGTGTTGGCGGGTGGGTGGGTGGGGGGTCAGGGTATGTTAACTTAATGTACAAAATACCAAATATCCACAAACCCAGAAAATCAGTCCTAAATCTCTTTCAACTCTGAAATTCTCTAAATATGTTTTATTTTTACAAAGACCTTGTATGGTGGAAAATCAGGTTTTCCTTAGAAAAACATGTAGAAATGGACAAAGGTGAAAGCCTGTGGCCCCGCAGAGCAGCACCCTATCTGCTGTCCTTCCAGTCAAACTGGGGTTGGCCAGCTTCGTCTCCCAGAGTTGTTGTCATGCCTTATGTACAAATCTGTATTTGGATCCTTACTCTTAAGTGTGAGGCAGAATTCTACCAGGGGCTGGGAATAGTCCATCATCTGAGGGTCTCTGTTTCTTAACAGCACCTGTAAGTGCAAGTGTGTGGAGAACAAGGGGCACACCAGGGACCAGTGTCACTGGAAAGTTAGACTGCTGCTGCCTGCTCCTCAGATCCTGCTCGCTGAGCATCTATAGTGAATCCAGAGGAGGCACCAAGGCCTCCCCAGCTGCCCCTGACCCAAGAACGTCCCCCAGGGCCCTGGGACTTGTTCTTGGGAGCCCAGCCTGAGTGCTCTGCTCCTCAGCCCAGAGCTTTGCGTGCTCCTTCTTCCCAGTCCCGGTTGTAGCCATATCTGCCCAGGTCTGAGCCCTCTGGCCACCGGGACCCTCACCGGCAGGCAGCTGCAGCTGAGCCGTCCCCTTCCGAAAGGCCCTGAGCTGCTGAAGAAGCTGACTCTTCCCAGTACAGTTCCTGTGACAGAAGGAAACAGGGCTCATTCAAAGCCCCATGGAGGCTGCCCCGCTGGGCACTTCATCACTGAGATAGAGGAAGGGGACGTGATCCAGGCAATTGCCAGGATCCGATGGGAAGCCAATGATGACTGATTCCTGTCCTGTGCAGTGGGTGAGCAAGACCCCACCATATGGAGGCAGAGTATGCACTTGCCAAGAATGACTTGGGGGTCCCTGAGACTCCCCACCCAACAGGAAAGTCACCACACTTTCTGATTTCCATCTCTGAGATTAGGTTTCAGTTGGTTAAACCCAACTGACAGACTGATGGATAATTCTAGAAAGAAATGGGGGCCAGAGGGCAGCACCTGTGGCTCAAGGAGTAGGGCGCTGGCCCCATATACCAGAGGTGGCAGTATCAAACCTGGCCCTGGCCAAAAATTGCAAAAAAGAAATGGGAGCCAGAGACCTTTTTTGGGTTTTTGGTTTTTTTGAGACAGAGTCTTGCCCTCTCACACCAGGTAAAGTGCAGTGGCTCATCATAACTCACTGCAGCCTCAAACTTCTGGGCTCAAGCAATCCTTCTGCCTTGGCCTCCTGAGTAGCTGGGACTACAAGTGCCTGCCACTATGCATGGCTAATTTTTCTATTTTTTAGAGATGGGGTCTCATTCTTGCTCAGGCTGGTCTTGAACTCAGGGATCCTCTTGCCTCATCCTCCCAGAGTGCTAGAATTACAGGCATGAGCCCAGAGACATTCTTTTTTTTTTTTTTTT